GCCAGGAAAAAATTTCGTCCCCCCCCGGAAATCCTAAAGAACCGAATAAATATTGCGATAAAGATTTGAATTTAGAAGTTACGGGGCGAGACGCGAAAAAAGGAGAACAAACGGCCAAATGGGAGGATTTTTTATGCTGGAAAAGAAACATAAACCGACGAAAAGCTATTAAAATAACGTTTTTTTTTTGATTGGCGGTGCCTCATTCCTCGCAACGGATCACCGCGCGGCACACGAAACCACTGGTTGTCTAAAAACGTCGTGTGTCGTGGGCGCAAGTGTCGTGGTATCGTGTAGCCATGAAACCCTCTATTTTCGCTAGGAGGCAACATTCTAAAGTAAAAATTAGTGTGTCGCTCAGTTATTTTTAAAACCAGCGGGGGAGGAGCCGCTTCGCGACTCTCCCCCGCTGGACCCCGTCTAGGCCTTATGAATCGAGCACCCTTCCACAGACAGTTATCCTGAAGAAAGAAAAACCCATCTCCCATGCAAAGCTCTTTGTATTGGCATGCGGCGCAAGATTGAACTGTTAGTCTCGTTATTAGGCCTGCGGCGCATGTTTGATCGGCTAGGTCGCTACCTCATCCTGCGGCCCAAGCTTGAGGGATTAGCCTCCTTTTTTGGCCTTTGGCGACAGCTTGAGCGGCTGGCTTCGTTCTGAAGCCTGCGGCGCTAGCTTGAGCGGCTGGCTTCGTTCTGAAGCCTGCGGCGCTAGCTTGAGCGGCTAGCTTCGTTCTAAAGCCTGCGGCGCTAGCCTGAGCGGCTAGCTTCGTTCTAAAGCCTGCGGCGCTAGCTTGAGCGGCTAGCTTCGTTCTAAAGCCTGCGGCGCTAGCTTGAGCGGCTAGCTTCGTTCTAAAGCCTGCGGCGCTAGCTTGAGCGGCTAGCTTCGTTCTAAAGCCTGCGGCGCTAGCTTGAGCGGCTAGCTTCGTTCTAAAGCCTGCGGCGCTAGCTTGAGCGGCTAGCTTCTTTCTAAAGCCTGCGGCGCTAGCTTGAGCGGCTAGCTTCGTTCTTAAGCCTGCTGCGCTAGCTCGTACGGCTAGCTTCGTTCTAAAGCCTGCGGCGCTAGCTTGCGAGGTTAGCTTCATACTTAAGCCTGCGGCGCAAGCTTGAGCCTCCTTATCCGGCGGCGCAATTTTGAAGGGCTAGCTCTGACCTTGGGCCCGCGGCGCTAGCTTGCCCGGCTAACTTCCTTCCGAAGCTTGCGACGCTAGTTTCAGGGGCCGGCCTGAACCTTTAGCCTGCGGCGCATGTTTGAGCGGCTAGCGTCATTCTATGGGCTGCGGCTTGAGTGACTAACTTCATAATAAGGTCCCTACACGGAAATCTACGCCGAAACGCACTTTCCCAGCAAAAAGCAAAACAACCACGATATCCGAGGATCGAACCTCCGATGGTTGGATTAGCACGGCGAAGCGCTTACCACTACGCCATGCAATGCTTCGTAGCACGCGTCAAACACCCGTTTTATGCCTCAAGAGGACAGCCCGGGGCAGGGGAAGGAAAAGCATCAAGAGGCAGGTCCAAAGAGACGACCAAACTCGCGAGTGCAACTGGCAAGAATGAGGGAATTTGTATTTTTTCACATTATGCAAATTAGCCCTCCCGGACCCCCAAAAATGAATAAAACCGGCTTTAACTTTGTAAACTTGTATTTTATCGGGATTCTCAAGCGCCATCGGAAAGAGGAGGGTCGATTCCCCCGGGTGACGGAGAATTAAGGCATTTTATGCACGGGAAGGCCCTCAAATCGGGCCTCGAACGTGACGGCCGGACACACACACAGACAAAGATACGCGACCAAATTATATACAGGGTGTCCCAAAAAAAAAGACCCCCCCAAAAATTTGAGCCAGAGGGCACCTACGGAGCTGAAAATTTGCACAGAGGTAGCGAAGCCAATTTCCCACGTATATGGAAAGTTTGAGCCATATCGGCCGACGGGTTTTAAAGTTATAGCGAAAATACTTTTCATTTTTAATTTAATATGGGGATTTTTGCAATCTGCATCAAAAATATGCGTTATTCTTGAATTTACCAGCCGATTTTGCATAAATTTTGCCAAAAAATGCCATTCGCTTGCTGGAGCTTTTGGAAAACGATTGCTTATGCAGCGTGAAAACGATCAGCAAGACCGCTGAGTACAAGATACATAGGTTGAAACTATCGTTCAGCGCCTGAACTTCGCTTAGACTTTGGGCTGACTTAAACCCAAGCCCAAATCTAAACTTAAGCACCACTTAGAAGCTCATCGAACTCTGTTTCGGGGCTAGCGCGAAGCAGATTGCCAAAATGCACAATAAGGCGTGGTTTGGATCGATAAAACAGTTGTTTTCACACTCTTTTTACTCTTCATACGCAATCGTTCGCGCCATGCTCAAGCAAGAGAATGGCATTTTTTGGCAAAATTTATGCAAAATCGGCTGGTAAATTCAAGAATAACGCATATTTTTGATGCAGATTGCAAAAATCCCCATATTAAATTAAAAATGAAAAGTATTTTCGCTATAACTTTAAAACCCGTCGGCCGATATGGCTCAAACTTTCCATATACGTGGGAAATTGGCTTCGCTACCTCTGTGCAAATTTTCAGCTCCGTAGGTGCCCTCTGGCTCAAATTTTTGGGGGGGTCTTTTTTTTTGGGACACCCTGTAAGGTAGGATTGGTTTGCGCAGATATGCAGATGTCAAGGGAAGACATACAGAGGCAGGAGAAGAAATCCTGGCCATAGTCGGTCCGTCGATTGATGTCACTCTGATGCAGATGCAATTACAGCAGATGCCTACTACGGACTACAAGATATGACATCTGGACAGACACTTCTTACTTTCGCTTCCTTATTTATTTCCTAGTTTTCATTCGCGCCCCCCTCCTTCAGTTCGAGTTTTGACGTTAGCTGCGCTTTTCATTATCGCCCGATATCTCTCTCGCACATTCTCTGCCCCTCTCTCTCTCTCTCTCTCCCTCTCTCTCTCTCTCTCTCTCTCATTCTCTCTAACGCCCTAACTCATTCACTACCGCTGTCACTGACATATTCGAGACCTCCATTTTTGTTCTATTTATGACAAAAACCATTTTCGCCATTTTCAGATGCCATTCGACTTCGGCGTCCTCCCACTCGAAAATCAATTCGAAATCCTGCGCTACATGGATTTGCAGAGCTTCTTCAAAACAGCCATTTCAAGCAAATCGATGCTACAGCTGGCCAAGAGATGCCCCAACAAACAGTGGAAATGCTACCTCTGGGGACATTCTAGTCCTCAACCTCTGCCCAGTAACTACAAAGCCATGCAGTTGCTTTTCCATAATTCAACTGTTGACGTGTTGAACCCCGATGCCATCCCTCATGAAGAAATCAATATTCGTTGCCGAAAGCTGTATCTGGACCAGAACAGATACGAATCTTACGATATATTGCCGTATCTCAAACGTCATAAGCCGTTGTTCGGGAAATATAAATCTGTCTATACTCCTCAACAATTTCGACCATCCAGAGAATTGATAGATTGGCTGAATGCATCGACGGATGCTGTGTCGGCCAGACTCTGCGCCCCCCTATCGGCATACATTCATCTGAAGGTGCCACACATGACCCTTCAAGCGCCCATGGACTCCGGCGAATCCATGGCGGCCCATGCTGAAGTGATAATCCGGGAATGGCTCGTTGGAGAACGGCGGATTAGTCCCTGTATAAAGCTAGAGAATTACGAAACGGAATTGAACCCCATTCACCCGGTCTTCTTTACGCGACACCCGAAACTCCACGTCGCGAATTGGGACAGCACTTATTATCGCGTGCGCCGGGACGATGGCGAGGTGATGATTGTCAGATTTTCTACGCGCTACCGGTCCATCAGTATCGCGCCGCCCAAAAACGCTAAATTCTGGGAATATACAGATATTGTCGAGTTTAACAAATTCGTATCCAGTGCCGAATAAACATTGCCTCCATCGCTCGAGTCGAGCAGTTACACATTTTCCCATTGGATGGGTTTCACAAAAGCCCTATAGCTCGCATCTTATTTCAGACTATGACAATGAAAAGACAACAATGGCAGAACCGAAATAGAGCAGCTCCAGGCACTTCAAACGGGTTTTTATGGAAAACCAGTGGAAAAAGTCCGCTTCGCGGCCCTTGAGTATTCATCTATTCCGGAATGTTAGGCAAATTCCCGGAATGTAATTCCGGGAATGATTTTGTTAAGGCTGGACCTACCCGGCCAAAAGGGTGGGTAACCATTCCGGGAATCTAGGTAAAACATCACCAAAATTCCTGAAATTTTTACAGGAGCTTAAAGGGGGCGGGATTAGCTAGTATGCAAAGTTTCAAATTAATCGGGTAGTTCCCAGCGAAGTTTATCAAAAGGGAGACACTCCATTCCCCATATAGGATAGAATCAACTATATGAGGAAGGTTGCCACTGTCACCCTAATGAGATTATGACCCCATAAAGAGGCATCGGTTTGTTCAGTGGATTTAGATTGGCGGTTTACTGCAAATGGCTGATATGTGATTATTGGAGAGAATAGTAAAGAGAGAGAGGAGAGAACGCAAGGTTAATTTGAATGAGGCGAACTTGCTGGATTATCTTGCACGGCAAATTTTACGCCCATTCTTGGCCCATTTCCACCACAAGGAGAGATTGTCCGGGTTGGAAGCAGGGATCAAGCATGTCTTGTGCAGAATTTTTCCGTGCGAATCTGTTTGCCAAACTTGTGGAACCGCGATTTGCTGAAAGTTATTCACGAAGTAAGTTGGGAAAAGCCATAGAAAGTGACCGATTTTGGACGTTTTTTGGACTTAGCATTTAGCAACTTCAAAACTTTCGGAAAATTGTAATTCAGAAAAATTTGGTAAAGATATTCTAAATCAACGCAAAATTCTGAACTGGAAGGGCTTTGTCCCAAATTGAAGCCAAAAACTGCATGGAATATTTTTATTGAAACCGCTGCACTCAATCGAAAAACTTCAATAATGCAATAATGCTAATAATGCGCGTTCAATGGCTTTGTGTCTTCGAGGTTCGTCTGACCATAGCTATTACAGAGGCAAACGTCCTTCTCGGTGGATGTCTAATGTCAGCTTTCCCTTGAGCCCGACAAGTAGATACGTAGCAGAAAAACAGCATCCTAAAGGCACATTTTTAGTTGTACGATGATGACAGATTACCCAGCAATAAAAACGCTGGCATGGTAGCGGTATACTTGGGTCATGTTCGCCCAGACTTCCCTGCGGAAAAACGTTGCCTTGTCGGTGATCTTCACCAGCAGCACGTCAAAGAAAAACGCTACGTTTGTCAGGACCAGCTGAAAACGGCCGTTTAGATCGGCATAACGAAAATTCCCGGTTCTGGACTGCTTGCGAGGGGTGGGGATTTTTCGTAGGGGCAAACCACTTTTCGTTTTTCCATCTGTTAGTTAGATATAATGTATTTTTATAGTGTTTTGAGTAATTTGTGATGATAGAAACTTATAAAAAAAAATATTTTTAAAAATTTTGGGATTCTTAAGTCATTTTTCATGCCTATTCGTCCAAAAAATCGCATATTTTCGAAATTTGTTATTATCCCTTAATAATGCTCCCACATCTAAAAATTATCTAAAATTCTATAAAAATGGTTTTTTTGGGTGTAGGGCCGTAGAGAATCACTAGGAAAAATTTGGTCCCCTCGCTAGCAGTCTAGAATCAAATTACCATTAACAGCAACAGTGAGTTATCCGGCCCAGCCATATTCGCCCTTTCTCGCATACCCTAGAATCAACACTCCGAGAATTCACGACGAAGAATTACCATAATTTTAAAGCGCCAAAACGCGGCCATGTTCAGCGCAATCGTGCCCATCATAACCACGACGGATGCCGACCGCATCTGGTTGAATAGCTCGGCAGCCTCGGGGTCTTGGTAAAAGTTGAGCGTGGCTTTGAAGGTGGTTGGGTCGAACCAAAAGCCGCCCCAACATTCCTTGTCTCGATCGGTGACTAAAGTATACTGGGTCGTTATATTAGAATATATCATAAGTAATACATATTAGAGAAACCAGTGGAAGAAGACCGCTTCGAGGCCCTTTTCCACTGACCCCGTCCGGGAACCATGAATTCGAATACCAACTCTTTTTTTAGCCTGCGGCGCAAGAATTTGAGTCAAGGAGCCATTCTTTGGCCTGCGGCGCCGGAGCCAGCGTTGCGCTAGAATCTTTGAGCCTGCGGCGCTAGCTAGTGCTTTTTTCTCTCCGGGATTTGGCCTGCGGCGCGAAAGCCTGTGCCAAGGATCGTTTCTTTGGCCTGCGGCGCTAGAGCGGGGGCCAGGCCTAAACCTCGCACACCGAGAGCCTCAAAATATGTTTTGTTGCAGAACTACTGTCTATTTTACATAGTTTTAGTTAATTTTGCAGCTTTTTGATAACCTAGAAAGCCAACTTTTTCCGACCATCATCCACATCGGGGCCAGGGGCAGAAAGCACATCACCGCCATGTAAACCGAGATCAGATATTGGGCGAATCGATGGGTTCTGACACCCAAGAAAGCCAAGATAAAACTGAAGTCTTTGTTATGGCTTCCCTGATTTCCTACCGATCTATTGTGAGAGCATGTAATACCAAATGCATCGAATAGAAGAACCCGATCTCGCCCGACGTTACCACGAGGTTTATCCCAATTCCACCGTAATCATTTCCTACACAATGCCAACTGCAACGGATAAACGTAAGAAATGGCAGAACCTACGTAAATAGACAAATAAAATCATAGAGTTTCATCGCGCCGGCGAAGATTCGAAGAACATACTAACAAAAAGGCAGCGGTAACGTTTCCACTAAGCGGGCTCCTTTTGAAATAAAGATATCCGGAAAGAAAACCCATCAGCATGCCACCAACGCCTACCTGAAAGCATTATGGGTAGATGATGTACCTCAGGTAGCACCTCAGGAATACACCGCTTAAAAGGCCGTTTGCCAGAGACCCGAACAAGCCTTGTCACAGTTTTTTTCGACCCCGTTTTTTTTGATGCCATGTGAAAGAGCATAGTCGAATTAGTAGGGTGGCGCTATTTCGAGATTTTTAAAAGTTCATTTTCTAGGTTTAAATGGGTGTTAAAGTTAAAAACCTTGAAAAATTATCTCAAAAACTACTCAGCCAAATTGCTCGAAAATTTCAGACAATATCTAATTTGGGGCGCTGATCATTTTTGTAATACGTTGTAAAGCACGAAAATAGCCGGAACATAGGAATACCGCGTACACAGAAAGGTTTTTCGCAACTTTCTATTTAATGGGTATGCGTCGCCAATCTAGAAATACACTTAAAGGGCTGGGGGAAGATGGGCCGGCGTCCGTCGGGGTGACGGACCGCCGCGGCGCTACCATCGACGCTTTCCCTCGCGTAATCGCCCCCAAAACTCCCTCTCGCGTTTGAAGACACCAGTTTATTGGCTATAACTTTTTCATTTAGCAATGTTTTCAACTAAAAATTTCCTGAAACCAAGGACTTGGTGGTACGCATCGATGGTAAAAATTTGAGCTGGATTGAATAGAAGGCGGCCAAGTTCTGAGCGATTCGGGGTTTTGGTACACTGTTTTGGCTGAAAAAGAGGCGCATAGACAGCAAAGCACCTCTAGAAAGTTGCAAAGTACGTTGCAATCCTTCAGCTAGGTTTTTACAATATTTTTTTTAGCTTTTATCGCCATGAAATTGCTTTATTTCTAATGGCAGTTCTTGTACAGGTGGCGAACCGCTCTAGGGTATGTGGGGGCCCTCCGCCGCCCCTCTCCACTCGACTCTTTGGTGTACTGGCTAGCGCATCGGACTGCGGGGCGGACCATCCCTGGTTCGACCCTCGTCCGGTGCGACCCTCTTTGCTCTTTCAGCAATTCCATCTTTCTCCAGCCCTTTAAAAGATGCGCAATTGAATTCTACGTCGAATCATGTATGTTCCAGCGTGGCGACAGATACCCATTAAATCGAAACCCCCCCCTGGGAGGGGGGGGGGGGTTCAACAGATGGGGCGACGAGAGAGGGCGCACAGGGGAGAGGCGCAGAGACATTTTCTTTCCCGCGCGTAATCGATTGACTTATGCCGCCCCTATCCCTTTAACCTTCCAATTCTGTCAGGGTCTGTTGGTAAAAGGCTAGCTTACCCTCCAACCGGATCTGGGAGGGCTTGAGTGCTGTTTAAGTTTTTCAAGGTCACCAATCGGTAGCCCTAGGTCCCAGCTACTATCCCCTGGCCGGGAATTGCGAAAAAAATAAATATTATAATTTCTACAATTAACATAGTGTTTGAGCGGTTATTCGGATTTTGCTTGTTTTTACCATAACTATTTTATTTTATTTTATTTTGGGTTGTAATTAAAACTCCTCGTATATTTTTTGACGCTCTATCGAGTGGCGCTAAAGAAATTTTGTAAAAATGTGGAAAGTATCGAAAACTAGCTTTGCACCTCTTGTTCCCCTTGGGAAATCGCGTTTAATTTTTGTTTTTGCTGCAACTATTTTATATTGCGGTCTTTTGGGCTGGAATTAAAACTCTTAGTATGTTTTTTTGATGCTCTACCGATTGACGTGTCGAAAATGCCAATAAATAGCCAAAATATCGAAAACTAGCTTTTTAAGCCCATTTTAAAGGTTATTTTTGTTTTTGCTATAACTATTTTACGGTACGGTTAAACCGTAAGCCGTAGCCAAATACTCTTTTCCACGCCTGTAGACCCACCGGGAGCCTAGATCAAAAGTTGGGCGCCGGCTGGGTGGTGGGGGGCTGCACTCTAACCCCGCCCGCGAACCCGCATCAAAAACTCGCCATAAGGTAATTTGTCGTAAGCCGGGCGTCGACGACAATGTTGTAGTACTCGCGAGCATATGGTAATTGATAAATCTGCGCGTTATAATCAATATCCCAAGGGGGGCTGCTAGCCTCGCACAGGTTGGGTATCATCTCGATCCATGCGGCAGCGTAGTCACCATTATAGTAGTAGTGCATGATATTTCCCTGAAATTCGCGCGTGCCATTGCGCCAGTCGGCCGGATTTAGTGTCACTGGGGCTGGGGTGGTCTGCTGGGATTTTTTGCGAAGTTGTACACCACGGAGAAGGGCGCCAATAATACCGAGCTGCAAAATCGTCGATTGCATCCCCGGGTGGTGTCGACGGCGTGGCAGCCTTAAAAGGGGAATCTGTCAAAATCCCGCAAGGCAGAATTTCGAATTTTCAGTACCTCAACAACTAGAATCTCGAATTTTCTGAATTCTGAATGGGTACACATAGGATAACGAGACATTTGCGCCCTAGACCCCCGATTCGAACCCGATTTGGTACACATAGGATGGCACACATAGGATAACGGGGGGGGGGATAACGGGGGGGCACTCAAAGTTTTTTTATCAGAAAAATATTTTTAAATATGCGTCTTTCGGGCTAATAAAAAAAGTTAGTATATTTTTGTGCCCTCTGTCGAATGATCAAAATATCGAAAATATTCAAAACGCCGAAAATCCCCCCCCCGTTATTCTATGTGCTGCCCATAGTTTTCAAAAATAGTTTTTAGGCTATAAAACTTTTATAATACTTTTTTCGTGTTGTAAAAAAATTTCTTAGTATATTTTTTGATGTTCTATCGATTGGCATTTTCTAAATATCGAGAAACTCAAAAAATTTGGCTTTCCCCTTTATCCTATGTGCCACCCAGGGATTTTGATCGATTTTTGATTATTCGATAAAAAATTTAAATTATATTATTTCGGGCTGAAATTAAGTTTCCTATGACAGTTTTTGACGCTCTATCGAATCGCGTTTTCAAAATACCGAAAATTTCGGAAATTTCGAAAGTTTCAGTATATTCGAGATTCTGAGAATTCGTGGTTCTAATTTTCGAGATGCTGGAATTCGAGACGCGGATAGGTAAAGCTTACAAAGAAAATGACAACAAGAATATAGTATTGCTGGTTTTGATGCTACAGTGTCACATCAATTCCAAATGAATCTGAGCAGATGCGAACGTAATCCAGAGCGGCTTAATCAATCCTGAAAAATAGCACCTGTCAATCGTCTCGTCTGCTTCCGTGGGCGGCCAATCCACAGCTTCTCTGCTTTTTATACAGTTTTCAAAGAGCCCGCCAAAAATACTTAATCTTTCACCTGAACCTTCGCAGCTTTCACCTGATTCCCCCGGGATCAAATGCGAGATTTCCGACGCCAGTCTAGCTCAGGGTTACGGTATGCCAACAACGAAGTAAAGGCCAGGATTCACAGATTAGCAGTGCTACTGTTCAATCTAGATTTAAACTGAATTTTTTGGTAAAAGAAAGATAACATACAGGGTACCCAAAAAAAGCACCCCTCTGGTATTTCGCCGTATTGCATCCGGCCGGTCCCCAAATTGGACCAGAGGTGTATCAGGACCACGATAACCACAATCCAGAGTTATAGCTCGCCAGCTACAGTAGCTTTCGAGTTACAACAAGAATAAACATTGTAATGGGTTTTTCGTAGGGTTCTCGTCGGAGGCGACCCTAGAATACTAAGCGAAAATGATGAGATGAAGGAAGGCTTCTTTACCCTTAGAAATTTTTTTCAGATTAAAATTAAACAAATACGCATTGATTTAAACGATTTTTGTAACGCAAAGCAGCCCCCAAATTAAGTGAAATTATGGATTCGCAGCCAGAAGTCGATGCAAATCGATGCATAGTCCAAAAAGATGGCCGAAAAACTGTTAAAAATCGCCTAGAAAACAGTGTTTTGACTATAACTCGTGAACAACTGCAGCGATCGGGCCATAACTTACGATTGTTGTTCTTTAGGGTCTGGTACACCTCTTTTATAAACCGTTCGGATGTGATACGGAAAAATGCCAGAGGGGTGCTTTTTTTGGGACACCCTGTGTAGCGGCGTTATCTCCGCGAAGCTGTTGGCCTGATAATTCCAAACTTATTTATTAACTGAAAAATTGTGACCGAGAGGTGATTAAATTTTTAAGAAGTCATCAATTGGAGTTCGGCTTAACCGGCTTCACGTTCAAATACGACATGTTGAAAGTGATGGTGATACAACTGGAAAAGGCGGCCGAGTCGCCAACGCTAAATAAAATTTACCTGATGGCCGAGCAGTGCATGAATTCATAAACAGAATACGACAAATAGCTGATATCCGGCCAGGATGCGACGAGGTTCGCCGCCGAGCCAACGATTTGTTTGCCAAAAATCAGCAGATTCGTCGCCACCAGCTGGAAGGAGAATTTCCCCCTTTGATGGGATAGACCTTACCATCGTGGCAAATCGCAGGTTGACCTCGTTCTTTGCCGCTGATTCTTTCATCTTAATTGGCGATTCTATTCCAATACCAAAGGGGCTAACAAGGAGTTCTTTTTTTAATAACAATCGGGTGATATAGTCGGCTACGCGGGGGGGGGGGATAGAACAGGCATGCCTTTTTTATATTTTCGTTATTTTGTCGGGATTTTTTTCAACGCCTTTCGATGGAGCGTGGAAAAAATATACTAAGAGTTTTTGCTTTAGCGCAAATTATTGTAATATACAAAAGTTATAGAAAAAAAAAACAAAAATCCTTTTAAAATCGGATTGAGCTTTGTTTTTCGACATTGGCGCTATTTTTTGGGGCATTTTAAAGACGTTATTCGATAGTATAAGTATACTAAGAGTTTTGTTTGTAGCAAAAAGAAACGCAAAAAAAAGAGTTGGGTCCGCCTCAACAGTCGTCCCCCCGCGTAAAATTGTAAACCGCGTGAAATCAGCGGAAAATTCTGAACACGAGGTTTGGTCCCGTACGGAAATCTGATTGTCACGAAAAAACGTCTCCTCGCTGTAACGCAACGTTTGCCAACCCTTAGCCTAAAAATTCTCCGAGCCATACCTTTCTGCGAACCATTACGAAGGCGACAATATCGAATGCCAATGTGATGGCTTGAAGGTAAATTAAGAATTGCGGGACCAGATCGAACAGCGTTTGATAGAGAGCCGATTTGTGGTATCGACAGGTTCGCCAATAAAATACAGGCGTAAAATGGTAGCCGGTATAGCAAAGATAGTCCGTCGCAGGGTCCGAGACTACAAAAATACAAAACATACATACAGGGTGCCCAAAAAAATGACTCCCTCCAGCGATTCGCAGTGATATCCAATTTTTATAAATTAGGTATCCATCGAAAGCTCTCGACGAGATGAGGATATTTTTTTCTCTCCGATTTGTGAAATTCCCGAATTTTTAACCCGACTGTCATCGTTTTTTTGGGCGTAAATTACGCAATTTTGCGCAAAAACTCAATTTAATCGGTTTCGGCCTCATCCAAGGTGTGTTTTCTCAAATGTCTTTCAAAAAGCCGACCTTGGTCTGCCAGGAAAAATGTTAAAAAAAAATTTGAAAAATGGGGTGTTTGTTAAAAACAATTGCATGGGAAAAGTATCAAAATTTCTGCCGATTTCGCAAAAATGCTAGTAAATGACATAAAATTCGGGAATTAGGGAAAAATACGGAAAGAAGATATCTCCTCAGCTCGTCGACAGCTTTCGATAGATACCTAAATCATAACAATCGGACATCACTGCGGAGCGCTAGAGGGATCTTTCTTGGGACACCCTGTACAAAGACAGCTACACATGTAAGAAAGGGATAAACGAAACCGTATTGTGACCGTAAATAGCAAAGTCTCGTTTAAAATACGGTAAAACCCACTGCTCCCCATCGTCGTCAGGTAATAACCCCAGAGCAACAAACACAACATTGTAAAGTAGAATACGGAGTATTTTTCGACCTTCTTGTAGTGAAACCCATCTTCGAAAACCGCAAAGAAACTGCGTCGACTAATGGCCCGCTGAATCTTTGTCCTACCGAATCACTGAAATCCAGTGTTGCAATAGAGTCATCGTCAAGTATGCCGTGTAATCAATTGTAGACCATATCATATTGTACATTATGCCCGCGTACGGATAGCCATCCGTTTTTAGACACTGCCAACTAAAGGCACAACCGTATGCGATCCAACTTCTTTCACTTACTCGAGCGTGCACTTTCCATAGTAGACACGAGATGCTGAGTTGACGAAGCGGCAAAGGGCGTCAGCCATCATTGCGCTGCTGACTATCAGTGTCACCTGCTTATTTTGCCTCGCCAAATATCCGGAAGTCACCGCCAAGCCCATCCCGACAATGCCAAACTGTAAAAATATACGGAAATCCCCGAGTGGGTGGACTTGTGGAGCGGCTTTCAGGTGCCTTTCAAGTTGGTAAATACTTGCTGTGCCGATTTTCACTATGCCGAATTTTCGCTATACCGAGTTTTCACTATGCCGAGTTTGCGCTATGCTGCATTTTTGCTACTCTACTACTAATATTCTCCACTACTATTAAAAGCGAAGATCGGCTGGGACTTTGCGGTGCAACAAAAAATCCGTTGCGCCTACGGCTTTACGGTTTGGTTGCTTTTCACTGGTTTTTATAGGTATTAGGATACTGTAATTCATCTGATGCCGACACAGCCTACCAGAAACATGGATAGCGCGATATACTTCTCGTCACTGGCATGATTTTCTATCATAGGCATATGAAACGGCAGACCATCCCATTTGTAGTCGGCCATGTACAGGTCGAGATGACCATTGATGGCCCGTTCACCCGGTCCCTTCTGGCACACCGCCTTCGGCACATATCGCAGCGGATCGTCAAAGCCCCAGTAATAGTCAATGATCTGATAAACTTCGCCATCGAGTCCAGTAATATTGTAAGGCGGATAGGTTTGTTCCCAATCTGGTACAAAGGGGGTCGTGGTAGCTTCGTTCGCGTACGTCGTCGCGAGATTTTCGGGGCTTTCGGCGATAACCCGGTTATTTGGAGCCATGATCCGCTGCTGGGGGCTGAGCCTGGCGCAGAATTGTGAAAGACAAGTGACTTCTCGATGGGGAAAACACGTTGCGGGCAATTTCACACCTGCCCGTTTCTTTCGTTCATTTCTCTAGGACTATGGAGGAGGAAAAAAGACCAGAGAGATTAACGAAATTTTGGCTAGACTTTACTATACCCCCCCACCGCCCTCTCCCCGGAAGTTGCAAACAATTTTCGACATTGCCGCTATTTGTCGGGATTTTGGTTCCGCCATTCGATAGAGCATCAAAAAAAGATACGATGGCTTTTAATAACGGCCCAAGATAATGTCATACCAAATATTTATAGCGAAAACATTTCGGGAACTTCCGGCTCAGAGCTTACCGAAATTTCCCGCCCACCCCTGCTAAAGAGGTGGGAATTTGGGTCATTTTGCGCCGAAAAGATCAGTTTTCAACCTAGAATTATCATTTTGTTATGATACATTCTATTATTGATGATAAATCGTCATTTGGCGCGTAACTTTCGGGTCTCAACAAAAACCCTAGTCATGCCTTTTTAATCCCTTTAGGGAGACTCTGAAGCGTGAGAACCTAGGCCCCTAGGTCTAGAAAAAAAAACATTTTTTTTGGAAACACCCGACAACATTTTTGACGGAATTTTATGTCGTAATGCGCTTACAAATTGATAGCATACAACGCTTATAAATTACTTGTTAGCAGAAAAAATTTATGCAGATTCCTTTATGTACAAAAATGAACCCAATCAATTACGCCATGGAAAGCATTGCGATACTGTATTGCATCCGTTGTCTTCTCGTGGCCCTTTCTACCGTATCCCGCCAACATTTCACCGATAGCCACTCCAACAACACGATCAACGGCAAGAAATAGCACGCTAAACCCACCTAAAATCATTTTTAGTGTTTTTATTCCGGAAGTTGAAAACGGCATTTTAAAGGGACTAGAAAGCGCGTGAATCGACTCCTTCGACCGGCTGGATGTAGACAACCACGCGACGCGCCAAATAGCCAGTACTGTTGAGATTTCGGACCAACAAAGAACGCAGGTGAGCTCGGATTTCGCGCGTCGCGTAGCTGTCCAGATCGAGTCGAACCATAGGTCGATTACCAACTTGCTTGTCCCTTTAAAACGCGCCTACGAAAAATGTAAAATCGAAAATGGTGGGTTACTTGATACCAAGCTTCGGATAGCAACCCATCGGTCAGGTCGTTTGCATAGATTCGAATGTCTATTCCCTAGAAAATTCGCTGAATAAGTAAAAAACAAACTTCAAGGGAAGTGCACGACCGGCCCACGAGAAATCGACACGAGACATAGTGGATCTAAGAGAATCGGACACGGGGATTCCGAATCTGTAATCAGAATTTGCTAAATAAAACGGCGAAAAAAGTTATGAAGCTTCAAAGTTGGCAAAATCGCCCAAAATCGGACTTTTATCGACCTGTAAAGGCCCAGGGAATGGAAATTTGCCACAACCCATTAGTGCATCTTGTTCAGCAGAAAAAGCGCTTTCGAATGAGCTATCTTACTTCAAGTTTACGATGATTTCGCGAAAATCTCTTCTATGAACTTGACAGGCCATACCCTTGCCCGCGAATCCAAAAAAACTTTTTTCAGTGAATTGTTTGCAAATGCTACGTATTACAGCTCATTCGAAAGCGCTTTTTTTGCTGAACAAGATGCACTAATTCTTTTCTCCTCAATTCCGTTCTCCCGGTTTTTACGGGCCCTTAAAGGTACCGTTTTTGGCGATTTGGCCAACTTTGATGCTTCATAACTTTTTTCTCCGTTTTATTTAGCAAATTCTGATTACAGATTCGGAATCCCCGTGTCCGATTCTATCAGATCCACTATGTCTCGTGTCGATTTCTCGTGGGCCGGTCGTGCACTTCCCTTGTTAGTGCAAGGTAAGCCAAGGTAAGCTTAAGAAAAAAAGGCGCATTCAAAATTAAAATAATCCATTTTTGCAAGGATCTATCTCTTTGAATTTTTGGTGCCTGAATTCTGCAGATAACCTACGATAAATGCAGGGTAACCATGGGCGAGCAACAATATCCTCTTTCGCATCCCAATTACCGTAATGACAAAAGAGACGATCGTCAGAATAAGCCATGCAACATTCAGAAGAATTAGGGCCAGCAAGAGAGAGAGAGAGAGAGACAGAGAGAGAGAGAGAGAGAATAGACCGAGAGATGGAGAGAGCCTCCTCAATGAAAGACACAAAAACCGAAACGAAAGTGTCTGTGTTAAAAGCTCCGGAAGCGCGACGATCAGGAAAACCAAGAAAAAGCTTTATGCCAATCGGAAGCCTGAAAATTACGATGAGGAAGCTCTGTTAAGCTCGATGGTCTGTTGCGTCTTCCCGGTGTTCTTATTCGGACAGCTCAAACCGTAGGCGACAAACAGAATTCTAGAAAGTATTGCAGCCCAGCAGAAGCCAACATCTTACCCAGTGAATACAGCACCGATGTGAAGCGAGTACATTTTAGCGACATTCCGGCCGACGTCTTCCCGTTTGATCCAGTGGCTGCCCGACAGCTTGTCATCGTTGGTCAACGCGAGCAGAAGCTCGTCACAAAAATACGCCAAGTTGGCAAAGCCAAGCTGGAGGCACGGGATGAGAAATCGGGGTGCTGTACTGTTAGCGGGGGCTTTTAACGGGGTAGATTAACAGGTGGTTAAAGGAGAAAGATGGAATCCCCCGCTAACAGTTCAGCACCAAAAACAGGGGCTTACCACCAACACAAGCAATTTATTGTCGCGTGCCACAAAGTCTTCCTTATCGTGGATTCCCTAAACGAAACGTAAAACTACAGGGTGGCCCAAAAGAACCCCTACCCAGTGGTCCGCAGTGATGTCCGATTTTTACGTTTTAGGTAGCAATCGAAAGCTTTCAACGAGCTGATCTTGCTGATTTTTGAAATTCCTGGCTTTTGCTTACATTTACTAGCATTTTTTGGTTCCTTTTCCTAGCCTAGGGCTCTAAATTCTCGAATTTTTATACTTTTCCTAGCAGCCCGAGAACAGTTTTTGAAAGCCGTAGCAAAAACACAACACCTGGATGGGGCTAAAGTCGATTAAATTGATTTTTTTGGGCAAAATGTGAAATTTTGGTTCGAAAAATCCCGAAACTCGAAAGCAAAATTGGGGAATTTCGAAAATCGACTCGTAAATATCCCCTAAGTTCGTCGAGAGCTTCCGATAGATACCTGAATCGTCAAAATCGGACGCGTCTGCGGCCTGCTAGGTAGGGGGTTTGTTTTGGGCCTCCCTGTATCCAAAACAAAGCACCCACCAGCAGCTTGAACCGCCAAAACGTCGCCAGATTCAGCACCATGGTGAGTGTCATGATTCCCAGAGACCATGTGCTGACTTGTATCATAAGTACAGCGGCGTAGCGATCGCGTAAGAATATCCGTTTTGTCTGCATATTTCCCGGATCGAAATAGTAGCCACCCCAGCAATGCACTTCATTACCCGTTAGAGGCCCGATCGTGTATACTAGAAACATGATGAAGCGGTGCTGGGCTGTTAGCGGGGGGAGCTATTTTTTTCTCGTCTGCCTTTTTGTGCTACATGGTGTATTTTCATAGCTATTTTCAGTGTTTTCCGTTCTTTAGCGAGAGCCGAAAGTTTTTATATGATTTTAGACATGTCTAGTAACTAAATCGGAAGTATTTAACTGATGTTTTTAGCGAAATATAACGACATTGTGTCCCAAAAACTATGCCTCTCTAACGGGCCGCAGTCGTTTCCGATTTTTACCATTTAAGTATCTATCGAAGGCTTTGTAAAAGTCCAGAAAACAGAAACCTTCCTAATCCGATCTTTCTCCGGACCCCTATGGGGGGGGGGTATCTGGGAAGCCAATATATTTCAAATAGAAAAATGGCAAAAATTCTATAAAAATTAAAAAGGTCGAAATAATTGGTCCAAAGGCCATATTTAGTCAAAAAATCTATAATTTTCATATTTTGAAACAAAAATTTCATGGACAAAAATTTTTCGGGTAAACAGTTTCTTATAACCTATATATCTGATAAAAAACCCACTTATGCCAGTCATCATGCCAATTGGAATCATTGGCAAAGCCATCATCACAATCCCATAAACTACCGTGAAATATCGAGCGAATCGGTGGACACGGTGCCCCAGAAATGCGAGGATTCCCCTGAAAAGCCCTTTGCTCAAATTTGTTCAATTGTACCGATCGATTGTAAGAGCATGCAGTAGAAATTGTTGCGCGTAGAAGAAACCTCTGTGCAGAGAAGTCTTCAGAATATTCAACCCGATGCCAGCATAGTATACATCCACAAGGTCGACCACACATCCCCAGCTAAACGTTTAGGTGCTAGTCTGTTAGTGAGGGGGGAGACCAGCAATATTTCAATAAAAACTTACTATAACAGACAAATCCCATCATAAAGCTTTGAGACGCCGGAGTAGAACATAAAAAAATTGGTAAGTAAGACTGCGACCGTCACATTTCCATTGAGAGGACTCCTGTTTAGGAAAAGGTACGCCGTGCAGATACTCAACGCACAACAGGACAGGCTCGCCTAAACGGACGGTACTCTTTTGAGACGCCAATAATTGTTAATTATTGCCTGATAATATGGTCAACGAGACCGAAATGTTCTTTTCGAGGAGCTCAGACGGCTCCTTTTCGATCAGGCCCCCATGAACCGAGGGGGGGTTTCATTTTTTCGAAACCCATATTTCCGAAAATAGCTTTTGTCGAAAATCACGTAGACGATCGGGTCTTTAAAGACTTAAAAAAGTCAAAGTTCAAAAGTTTTTAAAAGGGACTTTAAAGACCTTTTTGACAAATATCCAACGGTGAGAGAGGGCACCAGGCGAGAGGCACTGCGACACCTCCTTTTGTCCAAGTAAAGTGTCTAAAGAGTTTTCACACAGACTAGCAATCCCATTCGGAATCTATCCTATCTTGTACAGGAGTTTTCGCTGATTCCGAATCTGTTTTCCAAATCTGCGGACGAGATTTCAAAAGTTACAGCTGTTTTCGTTAAAAATTGGGCCTTGTAGAACCAATTTGTAACCTTGTAGAATACTTTCTGGATCAACAGAAACCCAAGCCTGGGGTAGAAAAACCGGCTATTTCTAATGAGCTGGTTGTCCTGTATCTCTGAAAATACATGAAAAAAGTTTTTGACCAGTGTTAAGGGGCAGTGGGAGGTAAGACCCACCCCCACAGCCGAAGAGGTCTCAAAGTTTTCGATATTTTCGTTAATTTCTCGGGTTTTTTTTTGCAACGCCATTCGATAGAGCGTCCAAAAAAGTGTAGCCGAGCGAATAATTCTGTACGAGTTGGGCTATATCTCGAATGGCATTTTCAGCCTTTGTGAAAACACTGTAAAGGGCCATCTTGATCTCTTTAATGGGGAGCTGTTGTTTGGTTTTTTGGTTCTCTTACGGTCCTGGCGGGCCCTGATTTACGTACTCACCAGCAGAAAATTGGCCGTGATCAGGGGATCAATGCGATCGGAGTAACCGGGGTTGAATCTTGGTACTTGCGTGTAGCGCGGCATACCATCAATATCCAGCTGTGGGTGCCATTCGCATTCTTCGACATAGTCATCATCATAATCGAAATTGGGTATAGGAATGGGTGTCGGATAGTCATAGGGTTGCCATGTCGGAATGGGCATAGTAGTTGCCGCTGTTGGGCTCTCGTCCGAGATAATTGTTCTGTCAGCCGCCGTCGTGCTGTCAGGATCTTTTGCATTACCGGGGGGGGCGGTCAAAAGGATCTCATTTTTCCAAGATTTCCAGTTTTCAGAATTTTCCAGTTTCTACTCCTTTTTTGTTATCCCCGAGCGCAAAAATAGTATAAATTTCGATTGAAAAACACAATTGTGCAAAAAAATCGTTCCCCCGATAATGCAAAAAGCACACCTGGTTTCATATTCGGTGGTATAACTGACGGTTGGTGTTGACGGAAAAATTGCGGGCGTTGTCGCGTGGGGTTTTTTCGTGCGCAGTTCCACGAGACAGATGATAGAGAATAAGAGATAGATTTTGAAAAACATCGTCGCCACGAGAAGAATATAAAGCTACGGTAGTGCTATAAAATATTTGATGCAGAGCTAAAGGGTTTTTTGGTCTATTTTTCAAGGTTTTTAAAGGATAAAATCGGTGGATAAACCAATTTTCTTTGAGCTTACACCTGCATAAAAAAAGTTTATTGGCGTTTTCCAAAATTTTTGTTTTCACAGACAGTATTTGCCTTGAAAATGAGGGGGGCTGGGCTTGAAAATTCATTAGGGCGAGTCGCCGGTTCCGCGATGAGGAGACTTCGATTTAGGTTCATAATAGGACATGTTGAATGTGATGACGATGCAGCTGGAAAGACGTTAGCATTTTTGGTGATTTTTCTGTGTTTCGTTAGATCAATATACCTATTGAGGGTTAAAGGGGCTTCGAAGTGCCAAAAAACCGAAAATCCACGAGTTACAGCACGAAAGCTTTTCGCGGGTTGCGTGCCGGTGCGCGGAATAGCAACCGGTCTTTAGCTGGGCAGGCCTGCCTTCGCAATTTCGCGACGCGTCTATCGCACGCGTTGCGGTCTTCCCTCCTTTCCAAAGCTACCGGACGTTTTCACGCCCCGAAATCTTGGCGGTCTAAGGGCTAGGCAACGCGGCGCTCCTATCGACTCAAAAATGTATGGGGCTAAAACTTTGAAGACTTATATCTTGAAAGATATGGCCGATCTTAAAAAACGCGAATTCCAGTCTTGTAGAAGGGAACATGACGATTCTAATGATACTAGGCACTAACAAAACTGAATTTAGAAAGTATGCTAACGAAGGCGGTTTTGGTGGGCGACTTTGTGAAAAGTGGTATTTCGGAGGGCTAACCTGCTGCCTTTGGTATCATTCGAACCGTAAAATTTTACTCTGCAATAATTAATATTGGCTTTTTAATATTAAGTCGGTTTGGAAAGGTTATAAGAGTTTAAACCTTTTGACGCGCACTACGCCCGGCTCCAATTGACGCTTTTGCCCCTCCCGGCAAATCGCCGTTTTTGGCCTGTTTGATTGGGCGTGTTTTATTAGGAGCCGGGCCGCTGTGCTGTATAGGCCTTTTGCACGTCCAAAGGGCGGGAAGCGCGTGAATTTGAAATTCCCCATCGTCACCACTAGAAGGCTGTTTCTCCGCCAAATCCGATAATTCACACACCAAAGCTATGTAAAATTGAGTGGGGATGTCAGAAATCAACTCAGAATCTGTGAATTCTGTTGTTTTCATAAAGAAATCGGGCAAAAACAGTTTTGCACAAAAATCGGAACAGGGCCTCACCCCGGAAATCCCTCCCTCACTCAATTTGCCGGAAATCAAAAGCTTCCGAAAATTGCTTTGATTTGGCACTACGGCGCCCATCTAAGGGGCTTTTTTGCGGATACCAAGAAAGAAAGCGATCACCTGATGAGTGCGCAATGGATGAATTCATAGACAGAATAGGCCAAATAGGATGCCCGTGGTTCTGGATACATCCATTCTGTTCCCATACTCACCAGCTGTTTCCCAAAAATCAACGCGTTCGTTGCGGCCAGCTAAAATCGACTTGGTTTCCACGCTTGACCACTCTCCTACCATCACGGCGAAACGCATATTCACCTCATTCTTTGCCAGCGATTTTTTCATCTAAATGACCTTTTTCCAGCCGCTTTTTTCAAATTAACAATTTTTGAACAACTTTATAGCTTTTTTACTAGAAACTGTAAATAATTCATATGATTGATTTTTTTGTTATAAGGCCGTACGGAATTAATGAGAAAAATTTTGCCCCCCCCCGCTAACAATCCAGTACCTTCCTCCTGATCGTCACCAGGGCAATGCTGTCTATGACCAATGTGAAGGCTTGTAACATGAGCATCATTATCGGCATCAGGTCGACGAGTGTTTGGTGAAAATAAGATTTATGGAAACGGGTCGTCCTCCCGTAGAAGACAGGTGTGAAATGATAGCCCGTATAACATCGGCCTTCCCCATTCGCGCTGCTAACTGAAAGATGAATTAGCTTCGGAAACCCGAGCCTTCAGTTCTTCTGGTTTCTACTTTCGGGAAAATAACTTTTCGAAGGAAGTGCGTGCAAAACATATGCACCCCCTGTGAAAATTAAATTTTTGCCTTCGTTTTTGGATGTCCTGAGGTTTATGAAATCCAATTGTGAAAGCGATAAACAGGCGTTTCACCCGATTACACAATGTTTTTCGGAAGAAACGTGGCGAATGAAGAAATGTCAAAAATGAGCAAAAATTCTGGAATTTCGAAAATCGACGACTTGCCGAAGCTTTCGATAAATACCTAAATGTGATAATCGGAGGCGTCTGGGGGCCGTTAGGAGGGAATGGTTGTTGGGACACACTGTATTTTCTTGTACTTGACTCACTATGCCCAATGGTCGAAATATAGAAGCCCCATAACAACAACAACAGCACCGCGATATAGCATAAAGACCACTTTTCCACCCTCTCATAATAGGTTGTTGCAAACACCGCGCAAAAACTGAAAATTAGGCTTGAGAGACCTGGAGAAAGATGGCCAGGCGTCCGTCAGGGTGACGGGCCGACGAGACGCTACTATCGACGTAATTCATATTCGGGATTCGGAATTCTTATGCAAAGCGCAGTTTCGGCGCAGGCCAAGGCGAGAAACTTGGAAATGACCTGTGGAACCCTCCTAGGGAATTTGAGGGCTTTCGTGCCCCGCTTCGCGGGTCTTGCGCGCTGGCATGCGTTCTTTGCATGAGAAATTCGACTCTCCGATTGCTCCGATCCTTCGAACCGCGTCCCTTATCGAAACACTGGCGTGTGCAACTTGCAAGAATGAGGAAAATTGAAGGTTTTTAGATTATGCAAATTAGCACTCCAGGCCTCCAAAAACGACTAAAGACGGCTTTAACTTTGTGAACTTGTATTCTATCAGGATTCTGAAAACACCCTTGGAAAGAGGAGCGGCGAGCACCGCAAGTGATGGAGATTTAGGGCATTTTATACAGGAGGGGAAGGGCCCCCAAAATCGGGTCGCGAAAGTGACAGACGGACACATGCAGAGAGACACGCCAAAATTCCATAAACTGGGGAAAAAAACCGAAATTAGCACCGAATGGCCGATATCCAATGTTGAAGGAGACCCATCGTCATATAGGTCGCGTAATCGATTGTTGAAAATACCATGTTGAACATTATGGCCGCCCACGGGTATCCATCAGTATTTATACACTCCCAACTAAACATCGTAGCGCGTTAGTAAGTATTTTAATAACGTTTTTAATACGATTTAACCATACCTAGCGACCAGCAAGAGTTTGAGACGAAAGTTTTGTCAAAAATCGGCAATTTTTGGGCGAAAAAATCGATATTTTTGGTGTTTATAATTAAAAATTTGTAAAAAGTTTAAGATTAGGAATAAAAAACCTTTAGAAACACTCGCTCTATTTATATATTAATAAAAACACGCAGCTAAACTAATTTGTTTATAACTTTTGTTGCGAATTCCACCGATAGTAGCAAAGTCCCCATATAGTTTCGGGTTTACCCACTCCAGCGTGCATTTTCCATAATATATTCGTGTTAATGAGTTGATAAACCGGCAACCCGCGTCGGCAATCATCGCCGCACCCACGATCCGCGTCAATTTTCTGTTTTTCCTGACCAAGTAACCGGAAGTTGTCGCCAACGCCATTCCAAGCAATGAGAGCTATAAAGACTACTTGATCATCGTCAAAGGGGCTCGACAGTCAAAATTCACGCGTGCGGGCATTGAGCCTCTGCTCAAAAACCCGAAAAGGTCTCTGGCGAGAAACACCAGAAAATTGCGATAAACGATAACGAAAAATATTTGGGAAAACCAGAAATATCTCGGGGCGAAAACGACATTTTGAGTGCGCGGCGATTACATGTCGTAATGCCTTGTAACGCACCCAATCTCTCGATCTCGGTGATTCTCCGATCAATTTTCATGATTAAAAAATCTAGAATGATCGAAGTTCGGTGAGGATTCCAGAAATAGCGTCAGAATTCTGAAATTCAAGCGTTTTCACGTCCAAGCGGGGGCAAAAGATCATGCGGCGCGCTCGCGTTGCGGTCGCATCAGGCTATTTGCCAGGAATCAACGCAGAGGGGCCGTGGACCAATTTTCGGAGCCTCTTTAAAGACTGCTAGAACTCTGGAACGCACACTGTCACCCCGAGGGTGCGCCCCCCCCCAAGAACGCGCAGAGAGGGGCGTCATTGGTAGCGTCCCGTACTGGGCAAGGCCCCTCTGGGATTTGGGGCGCCTCTGACTCCCTTCCCCACTCGGCCCTGTGGTATAGTGGCTAGCGTGTCGGACTGTGAAGCGAACCATCGCGGGTTCGACCCCCGCCCGGTGCAAAACTTCCTTGCTCTAAACCAAATTTCATCGTTCTGACGGTCTTTAAAGCAAAGTTGTTTTTTTGCCTTACACTGTATTGCCTGTGTCATTCAAATTCCGCAAACTGAACTTACCACAAACATTGACGCGGTAATTTTGGGTTCATCGGTAGGATGCGACCAATTATCGGCCTGATGGAACGGTGTCCCATCCCATCGATAATATGTCCAGTAGTAGAAGTTAGTTTCTCTGAATTGCCGGGGTACTTTTTTACTATCAGGGGGAGCGATCCCACAAAAGCTTACAACATTTCAAAATTTAAAATTCTGGTAGAAAATCGGCCATTTTGGGCCAGATCAAGAATTTTTGATATTCTTTAACAGCTTAAAAACGTACATGATTTATATTAGAAAGGTTGGGTACCAAAGAAAAAGCCCCCCCCCGATAATGCAAAAGAACCTGAATTGTATATCGCCTTTCTCCTTCCAGCAGATCATCGGATTGAATGCATACGGCCATCGATGTGCCTGATCGGCAGCCCAATCGACACGAAGAACATAGGGATAAATGACGCCATCAACGCTCTCCACTTCATAGTAGTGATCAACGATGCCAGTCGGCCAGTCGTAGTCGTAGTAGTCGTAGTAGTCTGGCACCTCGGTTGTGGTGGTAGTGGCGGTGGTGGTGGTTGAACTGTCGAACTTGTCGACGACGCTCGGCCACGTGGTAGAACGGTTGTCCATATTCACAGCCATCCTCTGCACCTCTAACCGTAATTCCAGTCGGGACCCGGCCTACATTGTGCACAATTTTGTGCTGATTTCGAATATGGTTACCGTTTAGCTAATTCCAACAATACAGTAATCAGCTAATTTACGCAAAAGCTTCGGCCATAGGATTAGAGAAAAAAGAGAAAATCAGCTAGTACGGCTTGTTCAGGAAAAAATCGCCATCAAGCTACTAGCTACTAAAAGATTTCAAATATTGTAAAATTTGATAAAAATACGGGCACGAAAATTTATAACGTTTTTGCAGTTTTATCAAAATTTTGTTTCAATTTAAAAATTTCAAATTCAAATGGATAATTTTGTTTCTGAACAAGCTGCACGAGCCGGCTTTTTGCTCAACTTATTCCGAAGCCTTTTATCGCCATTGAACGTAGCTGATTTGCGGCATTTACAACTTTAAATTGTTCATAACTTCGAGAAATGGCTTTTCCGCAAAAAACGGGGACTGTATTCGGAATCAGCGCAAAATTTTGCACAAGGTAGGCTTGGTCCCATCCGAAATCTGGACGACACTCAAAAACGTCTCCTTCCTAGCCCCCATTCGGTGGAATAAACCAAGAGAAGCAGCAGACAAATTTCACCTGCAATGCGACGCAGTTATTTCCGAAAGACAGCTGCTTTTTGGCAATATTCCGGGAGGATACACGAAGTTCAAGGTATTTCCGGCTGCCTTTTGAAGAAACCCTCGCCCACACAACTACAGGGTGTCCCAAAAAAAAAACCCCTCGGCATTTGGCCGTCTTAACTTGCATCGGTACCAAATTTTTACCAGCGATGGGATCCATAAAAACTATGTGCGGCCGAATTTTTTAAGCAAAATATTGTAAAACAAAAAAGTTATCGCTAAAAACTGATCTTTGGGAAACGCTGGTACTCATTTTTGGCTATGTTTTCGCAATTAGCATGCCGATTTTGAGTAATTTTCCCAAAAATCGTCATTTTCGGGAAGGTTTCTGTCAATTTTGACGAGGGAGTAAAAAGTGATTAAAAGTCCCAATTTAGACGTAATTTTCGTAAATCAAAAATTTTCTCCGGATGGAAAAATGTGCCCTCCCCATTTTTGCTAAACATTTCGAGGTAGTTTACTTCACATAGTTTTTATGGGTCCTCATCGCTGGTAAAAAATCGGTCCCGATCGGCTAGGAGGCGGCCAAATGCCGTGGGGGTTTATTGGCAACAGGCTGCCCCGAATCAGTTTCCAAGTCTGGGTTCTGGACTGTAAGCGGGGGGGGGGACCAAATTTTTCCCTGTCATTCTCTACGGCCCTTTAACAAAATATAGACCATTTTTTATAGCTTTTTGACATAGTTTTTGGATATAAAACAACATAAAAAATAATCAAAATTTTCCAATTTTCCAGTGTTTAAAAACATTTTTTTTCATAGCTTTCTACGTATCTATATAACTTATGAATTGCTTGTTGGGCAGTACAATTTTATACAGAAGCCTTTTATGTACAAAAATGAACCCAATCAATTACGCCATGGAAAGCATTGCGATACTGTATTGCAGCCGTTGTCTTCTCGTGGCCCTTTCTACCGTATCCCGCCAACATTTCACCGATAGCCACTCCAACAACACGATCAACGGCAAGAAATAGCACGCTAAACCCACCTAAAATCATTTTTAGTGTTTTTATTCCGGAAGTTGAAAACGGCATTTTAAAGGGACTAGAAAGCGCGTGAATCGACTCCTTCGACCGGCTGGATGTAGACAACCACGCGACGCGCCAAATAGCCAGTACTGTTGAGATTTCGGACCAACAAAGAACGCAGGTGAGCTCGGATTTCGCGCGTCGCGTAGCTGTCCAGATCGAGTCGAACCATAGGTCGATTACCAACTTGCTTGTCCCTTTAAAACGCGCCTACGAAAAATGTAAAATCGAAAATGGTGGGTTACTTGATACCAAGCTTCGGATAGCAACCCATCGGTCAGGTCGTTTGCATAGATTCGAATGTCTATTCCCTAGAAAATTCGCTGAATAAGTAAAAAACAAACTTCAAGGGAAGTGCACGACCGGCCCACGAGAAATCGACACGAGACATAGTGGATCTAATAGAATCGGACACGGGGATTCCGAATCTGTAATCAGAATTTGCTAAATAAAACGGCGAAAAAAGTTATGAAGCTTCAAAGTTGGCAAAATCGCCCAAAATCGGACTTTTATCGACCTGTAAAGGCCCGGGGAATGGAAATTTTCCCCCAAACCCCATTAGTGCATCTTGTTCAGCAGAAAAAGCGCTTTCGAATGAGCTATCTTACTTCAAGTTTACGATGATTTCGCGAAAATCTCTTCTATGAACTTGACAGGCCATACCCTTGCCCGCGAACCCAAAAAAAACTTTTTTCAGTGAATTGTTTGCAAATTGCTACGTATTACAGCTCATTCGAAAGCGCTTTTTTGCTGAACAAGATGCACTAATTCTTTTTCCCCTCAATTTCCGTTCTTCCGGGTTTTTACGGGCCCTTAAAGGTACCGTTTTTGGCGATTTGGCCAACTTTGATGCTTCATAACTTTTTTCTCCGTTTTATTTAGCAAATTCTGATTACAGATTCGGAATCCCCGTGTCCGATTCTATCAGATCCACTATGTCTCGTGTCGATTTCTCGTGGGCCGGTCGTGCACTTCCCTTGTTAGTGCAAGGTAAGCCAAGGTAAGCTTAAGAAAAAAAGGCGCATTCAAAATTAAAATAATCCATTTTTGCAAGGATCTATCTCTTTGAATTTTTGGTGCCTGAATTCTGCAGATAACCTACGATAAATGCAGGGTAACCATGGGCGAGCAACAATATCCTCTTTCGCATCCCAATTACCGTAATGACAAAAGAGACGATCGTCAGAATAAGCCATGCAACATTCAGAAGAATTAGGGCCAATAAGGCGCCGAGAGGGAGATGTTCCTCTGAAGTCGGGTCCTCAGAACTGGAAAAAGGGTTTTAAAATGCTTAAAGTTATTCGTGCTTTAGCCACGATCATTACTTCATGAACAACGACGAAAATCCAAATTTTTGGCCAACTAGCGGTGGAAATTTCGAATGCCGTAATCGTTTTTCTGGTGTTTTCCCCGACTATACCTTTATTTACCTCTCAGCTAAAAATTGGCTAGTTAGCAGAGATTCTCGGAGAATCCAAAATCGGGGGTTTTTAATACTTTTATGCTAGCTCCCTTTTTAATTGACACCCAGCAAAAAATAAGAGCCGCTGAAGAGCTTCTTGCAGGCTAGCAGGGATTATTTAGGATGTCGTAATCCGTTTTTGTCGCTTTTGTTTGAGCCACTCCTTTAATTGGCTGTCACCGAAAAAATGTAAGACAGCAAAGGTTATTGGGGAGCAGAACTCGATTTCTTTTTCAGCATTTTCTCTCATTTTTCCATTGGCTGGTAGTCAGTTCAAAAAAGGCAAGCTAGCAAATACCCTTTCAGAAGAATAAATCTATGTATTCGGTATTTTTCTGTCCTTTTCTGGTATATTGGCACCAAGCCAAAAAAACCTTACTCTCTATACACACGATAATATGCCAGATTCGTATAAATAACAGCGACGGCCGTTCCGCCGATATGAAGACACGAAAATCCGTAGAATAGCGAATTTTTGATGGAAGATAGTCGAAGGACCATCGGGAAATTTGCAAAAATCAATTTAATTTTTCCCGTTATCAAAGCGTGTAACCCGACGTGTAAAATCCGCTTAAAACCGGCCAGTGATGGCATGAAACGACCACTACAATAAAAAAAATTCAAAAAATCTGATTTTGTATAGAAGCGGCAAAAATCTCAAGCCGGAAATGTCTATTTGCAGAGAACTGTTAGGAACTGGCAATCGATTTTCAAGCTCTTTTGCGGCAGTTTAATTTTAACTGGCAGAGCGAAAAACATGGGACCTCGAAAAATGTTCTAGGCAGGCTAGCAAAGATTCTTTGAAGAGTGAGGATTTGATTTAAAGCTTTGAGCTTGATCTAAACTTTAATTGGCAAGTTTCCCAAAAGTGGCAAACTAGCAGAGACACTTTGAGAAGCCGACATCGATTTTGTGGTATTTTTTCAGTTATTTTCCGACTAACTGGCAGCCAACCAAAAAAACCGTACTCCTTGTAGATGATGTAGAAGCCCAGATTCGCAAAAGTAACCGTAAATACAGTTCCGCCAATATGAAGCCCCGCGAATCCATAGTATATCGCTTCGATTTTCGACGTATTCCGGAGCCAATGCTTTAGCGAGAATTTTTGGCACAACATCTACGGGGAGAACGGGCCGCCGAAATGAGATATTGATTTATCGTGACGAGCCTTATCTTTATGTCATTGCGCCTTCAGAATACTAAAATCCTCTTAAAAAGCGGGTGATGATTTGATGCTGTGGGGGCTGAGCTGATCACCGGAAATGAAAAACAAAAACTTATTCCAATAAAGTTGTCGTTCGCTGCGGCGATTTTTTGGAAAATTCGGTCTTTAGTATCTCATCTAGAGGTGGCGCTCAAGCTGCGAAGCTATCTGTGTAAAAAATGGTTTTTAAAAAAGGATTTATGATGACAAATCTATTAAAACCCGCCAAAAGCCGGTGGAATTTGACAAAAAAAAAACATTTCTTGGCGCTGGCCTGTGAAGTTTGAAGGACTTCGGTTTCTCGATTTTTTTACATAATTATTTTAACGTTTACTGAACATAAAAACTTAACAAAACTCTAGAAAATTTCCTGAAAAAGTTAGATTTGAAGTCGATAATTGATTTTTTTGAGATTTTTGAACTGACAAAAATTTCGAAATTTTGAAGCATTTCCTAATTTTTTAGAAAGGTTTGCTGCTTTCGATAGATCTCGAGCTAAATTTTACTACAAACCTATATGGGTGTTCTCTCATTTCGTTGACGAACTCACGTTTGCACTTTTAGCAGATTCGCTGGATTTTGAGTTTTTAGGTTAGTGACATCGCAGGCTAAATTACGCCATTTCCGCTCCAACTTGGTTAACCGGCCAGCGGCAAAAGCAGCCCGTTTCCTTTTTTTAATTGTTAATTTTCTCATAATTTGCTCCTCGCGTCTTTTTCTTTTCCCTGATTCCATTTATACATTTTAGATGCCAACACAAGACGAGAAAAAGTTGCCGCGCGCCCTCTTTGTCGCCAAAAATAACGTTATGGCCAAGCGGATATCAGCTCTTCTTTCCAAAGGTTGGTTTTTTTATTGTGAAGACATAGTTTTTAAACTATTCTTCTCTTTTTTCTAGATAAAGCTGTATGGCGCGATGGTCCGTCACCATTCAACAAGATCTACTCGTTCAGTATGCATTTTCAAGGAAGAGAAACGCTGGTGCGTTTACTTTTTTTGTTTCATGATTCTTTTTTCAGATTTCCGTCACCTCGGTGAGTGGCCATCTGATGTGCGCCACGTTTGGCTACAAGCTGAAGGAATGGCATGAGAGCACGGTATCCAGATTTTGGTGATTAACTCCTTTTTCAGGCCGAAAAGCTATTCAACGCACCGCTGCTATATTGGAGAAAGGAGAAAGTGGCCCAGAACGTCAAGTAAACTTTATCCGAAATACTGATTTGCTAGGAATTTAGAGATGAAGCTGCGAGATCCAATGTGCTGGTGATTTTGACGGAGTGCGACCGTGAGGGCGAGAATATTGGGGCTCAGATCAAGATTGTGTGCCAGGAGGCAAACCCCTATATCCATGTTTTCCGGGCCAAGTTGGTCTTTTTTTGAAAAGAATCGCATTTTTAGGTTTTCCGCGGTCACCACCGAGTCTCTGGAAAGGGCGCTGGAAAACCTTCATTCCCTAGACAAAAATATAGTCGAAGCCGTCAATTGTCGCATGGAATTCGATTTGCGGATTGGTAGCTAGTTTCTTTTTACAATGCTGCTTTTTTAGGCAGTGCATTCTCGCGCCTTCAAACGCTCTACTATCGTCGATATTTCCCGGCGCAGTTTCCCCCTGATGATCCTAAAGTATGACCAAACTCTAAATTCTTCCATCCTGAATTTTGAGGTCGTCTCCTACGGCAGCTGTCAATTCCCGACGCTTGGCTTTGTTGTGGAAAGGGAGAAGGTCATTCAACGGTTCGTGGTCAAGTCAGTTTGGAAGCTCCGGATTGACCATGTCAAGGATGGTGTTAAGGTATGCCCATTAGCACGTCTCGTCCGCTTTTTAGACGGAATTCACGTGGAATGGAAAGCCTCAATTCAACGCCGTCAAGGCCCGGGTTTGCAGCGCGATTTTTACATTTTAGCACGGCAGTTTTAGCGCTTCTACACAAATGCCCGGACAGCTGCCCGGGCGATCGTCGAAATGATCTACACTTACCCGACGACCAAACCGCGACCATCTCCGCTGAATAAGGTATTTCACGGTAATTCTGGGTTCTTTCGCATTATCGGGGGGACAAACTTTTTCTATAAATCGTAGACGTGATTATAAACTGTTTTTTACTATTCCTAAACATCAAAAGTGTACAAACTTCTAATCAATTTTTAAAAAAATTGAATTTTTTCGGCCGAAAATGGCAGTTTTTCCACTAAAATTTATATTTTTAAGTTATTGATCGTTTTCCTGGTTGAAAAAGAGTTATATTTTACGGAAAACGATAATAGAATACTTCCTATTAAGTTACTGTTCATTTATAGCCTTATAAAAAAGTTCGGCCCCCTCCCCCGATATTGCGAAAGAACCGTAATCTTTATCGCCCCACTTTTCAGGCAGACCTTCAAAAATTGGCCATAAAGCAACTCGGAATGACTGCGCATGAAGTTACGGCCGTCGCCGAGCAGCTATATCTTCGCGGCCTCATCTCCAATCCAAAGTAAAGGCATTTAACCATTAAGAGCTTAAATTTCAGGACGAATACGAACATTTTCCACAAGGGAATGGAACTCAATAGCGTCTTGGCATTGTTGGCACGTTTTTCACAAAAACCTGAGTGAAAATATCTTTTTTTAGGTTAGCGACGCCTCTTGGGGAGCATTTGCACAGAAAATCATCGACGATGGCGGTGCAATGCCGAGAAAGGAGTCACAAAATGACGGCGTTCATCCCCCGATTCACCCGCTCAGATTGGCCACCAGGTTTTTGCTCAAAACATTTGATAACCTCGGTCTACAGGGACGAATTCTCTTGCGAGGTTGAGTGGCGCGTCTACGAGCTCGTCGCCCGTCATTTTCTCGCATGTTGCAGCAAAGATGCGAAAGGCCAAGAAACCAGGGTTACGGTTGGTTAGATCCGCTGGATATTGTGAAATTCATGGTACTGGAGTGTTAGCAGGGGGCACTACTTTTCCCCAGTAATCCTGGACGGCCCTATAACGAAATATAAGCCATTTTATAGCGTTTTACACGGTTTTCAGGTATGAAAAGCTCATCAAGCTTATAAAAATGCTTGAAAATTTTGACTTTATGAATCTTGAAATCAAGAATGTTGAAAAATGACCAAAAACGACCAAATGTTCGAATTTACAAAGCGTTTAAGATATTTTTTGAACCGTTTACTACTCTTTACTCTTTAGCAGACAAAAAAGACGAAAAACATGATAAAAATACACGGTGTATTAACAACAGATAGGCATGAACGGGAAAACAAAAAGTAGTTCCCCCCCGCTAAAGGTCCAGTACCAAATTCGTGCCGTTCAGATCCGACTGGGCGAGGAGAGCTTCACGGCCACGGGCCTGCACGTCGACGATCGGGGCTATTTGGAGGTCTATCCCTACGAGAATTGGGACGAGAAAAGCATTGGAAAGTAGGCGCTAGCATGATCTTTTCTATAATCCACATTTTAGGTACGATCACGGCGAAACTATCACCGACTATCAAATCCGAATGATCGAGTCAAAAACGGAACCCCCGCCCTTGTTGACTGAAGCCGATCTGATAACACTGATGGATGAGAATGGAATCGGAACGAGTGCCACTCATTCTCAGCACATTCAGACGATCAAAGTATTTTTCAAGCTAAAAACAACCATTTGCTCTTGAGAATCGCGAATACGTGATGCTCGACGGCAATCAGAATTTGTGCAGCACCGTGTTGGGCCGATCGCTCGTTGAGGCTTATGAAAATATGGGTAAATGAAACACTAAAAAAATCATTTTAACAACATTAAATTCAGGTCTTCCGATGGCAAGCCCTGGATTGCACGCCGATTTCGAGAGGCAGCTGGTGAAGATTTGTGAGGGAAAGAGGACCAAGGAGCAAGTTTCGAGGAGTTTAAGAGAAATCTTGAATTTTTAGGTGCTGAGCGAATATCTGGCGATGTATCGGCGGATGTTCCGCGTGGCTGAGGAGCAGATCCACGAGTTTGGAGCCGCATTTTATAGGTATTTTTTGGCAAAAATCAGGCTGTGATTTTTTTTAGGAATACTACATTGGACCAGATGAAATTGGAGATTCCCGAAATCATCGCCGACAAATCCTTGGAGAATGATGAGAATCGAAACTGGGTAAGGACGCACTTTGAAACTAGTAAAACGTTTCCTTTCTAGATCCAATTCTCCCTCGACAGCAATGACACAAAACCGCCATTCCCCAATTTGAGCAGCCAACTGGTAATTTTCAGACCCTTTTGGCTAACTACTGACTTTTTCAGGATACCGACTTCGATCTGGACTGGCAATGAAAAACGACAAGTTTCCACTTTCTTTTTCTCCCATGTCAAAAGTTTCTTCTATGTACATACGTTCAATTTCTCATTTTTGCGCATTCCCTACTTTCTGAATACTATTTCCCACGTTTCATGCTACTTTTTGAATTGTAAGTTCGTAATAAACCGTTGAAGTTTCATTTTTTATCAACATGGCAGTGCATTGGACAGAGTACTATCTTCAGCCGGCAACCGCTCTTTTTCTTGAACGAAAAGTACTGTCTTTTGGCTGTTGTCGTACCCGCGCGAAAACCGATTGAGCTATGGCGTCTAGGGCTAAAAATTTGCCAGCGCGTTCACGTTTCTGGGCTCTAACGTTGATTTTCTTGTTGATGCTTGTTGATTTCGACCGGTTGGCTTCATCAACTTTTTATAGATCTCACCTTCAAAAAATCTAATGCTTCGCGCTTTGTTTGTGACCCAGAGATACGAGGCCGCCAAGAAACTGGCTTTCCATCTTTCGGGAGGTATTTTTTGAGCTTTGTTTTTAATTTTTAATAGGCAGGTCGAGGCCATTCGAGGGTATATCCCAACCGAACTGGATCTACCCAGTCGAAACCGATCTACTCGGGCAATGCGCTAAGGTGAAGCCTATTGCAACTGTATTT